CCTCTCCCCCTCCCTCTGCCCTCCCTCCTCTCCCCTCCCTCCTGGTTCACCATTTCCCCTTTGTTTATTCTCAGCCATCTGCTCCTGTTATCACCTCAAGGGGGAGGCCAGGGCACCACAGGAATCCTCTCTGGTCCCCCAGTGGGGAGGCTGCTGCCCTCCCCCATGCCCCCCCAGACCACCGAGAGACACTGGGACACCACTAACGCAGCATCTCCTGTCGTATCGAGGAGCTGTGGTCCTGAGAAGTGACCAGTGGGCACATGGTCTGCCTGGTGCCCTCGCCCACTGAGCCCCCCTTGCCCCCCAGCCACTGGCCAAGGCCCAGGGAGGAGCAGCCCAGCCCGCTGTTTTTCTGGTTGGGCTTAGTCACCGTGACTCACTCGAGAACACTCGAGGCTAGTGGCTGGGCAACAGGATGGACCGACACATTCGTGGGCAGTCGCCGAGGGCCAACTGTGGGCAGGCAGCCTTGCATCCAATAGCCTGCCCAGCTCACCGCGCAACAACCACCCTGAAAGGCAGACACCGCTGTACCCATGGCCCAGATGGGGAAACTGAGGCTCGGCCAGTTGCATTGGTGTCCAAGGTCACAGAGCCAGGGCTAGGCAGAACCAGCACCCATCATCTCTGTGTGAGCAGCCTGGCACCCACAGAAACTGGCCCCTCTCGCATGCCAGCTAGGGTGACCTCTGGCTGGGCCAGGTAGTCGGAGCACCTGGGACATACTGAGCAGACCCAGGGTGAGGTTACAACCAGACAGGCGAGCAGGCGAGTGTGAGAGTGAGTCACCAGGTGAAGGCACTGTGCGTCGGCGGTAGCAGCAACAGTTGGGAAAATCTCCACATGGGCCCTGCAGTGACTCAGGTTGTGGGCTGGCCAGTAGAGACCGTGGAGGTCAGGAAGGGCACCACCCCATCCCCCCATATACCAGGCTGGATCTTGCACCCAGTCCAGGAGGGGAGACCCCACAGCACCTCCCCTCCCCCCACACAACCCAGGAGGAGCAGAGGACATTGGGTGACAACAGAGACAGCTGGCCTGCTACCATCCCCAGCATCCACAGAGCTGGGAGACCTCAGGGCTCTGGCAGGCCAGGGGAAGGGCTGAGGGGGAAGGCCAGGCTCTGGCTGAGCTGGCATTCAGCAGATCACTCAGGGGCACGAGCGTGCGCTTCACTGGCATCTCAACTCACCCGTCACCTCTTGGCCTCCTGTCCTTAGTTCTGGAGTCCCAGCCACTGACAGCCAGGAACGAAATGTGGCCACAACACATTTTCTTTCAAAAGAAGGGAGAATGTTCCCACGGGAGAGATGGGTGCTTTGGAATGGC